CTAAAAATACAAATGTTTTGCATACAGCAGGTTTTAAAGTCATCAAATCTTATCTCAATCTGGTGATCTTAAAACATATATCCGTATACATAATATAATATAATATTTCCAGCTTTGCCTACAAAATTAAGGAGCTCATCTCTCTCTCTTTCTCTCTCTCCCTCTCTCTCAAGCGCGATTATATAGTATTTTTATATATATATATATTTATATATTTAAATATATATGTATGTATAAACAGACGTAAACATCATTTGTTATCGGCATAATTATTGTAGATTGCGCGTAGATGATAGCATGTAGACTTTACACCGTTTACGAACCACAAAATATTAACACCAATTATTTATTGAGCTTCTCACACATACACCCACTTTTCCATATTACGACTGTGCCAACATCGTTACCCGACATCATATTCGGCATCTGATCTTTGGCGCATTATTAACTGCTTCTCTCTTACATTACATATGCGATTATACGGCAGAGATACTTCAGAAGCTCCTTAATTATGCGAGCGCGCTATTTATATCCGTTTATACTTAAGATATCTGTATTTACACAAAGAGCTTATTTCCCTTTTATAATCTATACAATCATATAAATGTAATATTCAATGATAAAATTATAACATAATAATGCCTAGCCTATCTATCTAATGCGAAAGAGAATATTTTTACATCGAAATTACAATCCTTTCAATTATTGTATATTCTGCAATTAAATTATATATTACACTCAATCCTATTTGCATTATAGGATACGGATCAAATCAAACGCGCGAGTCCTGTACCCATTTTTTCATATTTTATGTACAATCAGGCTGTATATTTCCCATCCAAGTAAAATAAGCATGCTATTATATACAATATTTGATCCATGTATATATGTATGCATGTACGTGTGTACGTGTCTGTGTATATTTCTTGTCTCTACAATAAAAATAAATTCTAATAAACAAGTAATATTCTAACTAAATAATTTAAATCGAATATTGAAAATAGGAATAAATTCAACGAAACTATAACCCAAGAAGCAGTCTCTCTCTCTCTCTTAATTGTTTGGGTATAGATCGGTGAAATTCTTTCCTATTTTAAATATTATTAAATTCAGTATTTAATCTTAGCATGAGAAAAGCATTTCTATTAAAGAAGTATTGCCTGGTAGCCATCAAGCCTTTGGGAAAAATATCAGAAAATTTATATGCATACACTACATAGTTGAGCACTGCACTTATCATATTTTGTACATTCTATATTGTAACGACTGTAATGACAATCTTCCTTCCACATCATATAATAAATGTTTACTTGGTCTGTGAGGAGAGAAATTGGAAATTTATACAAAATTATCTTATGTTTTGAAACAAAATTCTGATACATTTTGATCCACAATTTTGTATAACAGTGTATACACATTCATCATGTTTAATAATTATAATAATTTATAATTATAATCATAAATATTCTATAATCATAATTATATTCTATAATCATAATTATAAATATTCTACTAAATAAAATATGTATCTGAGCACTGATGTGTTATAAAAAGTTGTTTACAGAGGATTCAACACACATAAGTTTCAGCAGAAAATTAAGGAGTGTTTATAAGAACATAGTTAATATAAGTTATTTATACATTCATATAATTATTAATTTATGAAATATTTATTTACTAAACATTTTTCTTATATTTAATTTGTCATTGAAAAAAAGTATTGAAACTAGAGGGAAAATGCATGTTTTTCATGAAAAATTGGAACAATGCTACATGATGACTACTGCAGGCTCAGCTAGAACTTTAAAAATTCTCAACTGTGTAAGTTATATTTATACAATATAAAACTAGATTATCTGTTCACAAAAACAATCATTGATATAAATCACATACATAGATTTACATTTGTATATACGTATGCACATATAATTCAATGTATTTTTAAATTTGTATAAGAAGAGTTAGTATCTTAATTACATGAATGCGAGAGAATAATTAATAATAATGACAATTACGACTTCTTGCACGATATTTTAATTATTACTAATTTAATAAAAATTTAAACAGTTCCTATATATACAATGGGGTGTGCTTTTTGTCCATCTTTACAAGAAATTATTTACAAAATATATTCATTCATATATTACCTATATCAAATTAACATTTTTTTTGTATTAATTAGTTTTCTTATAATAGTTACTCTTATCATCTTTATATGTCCATGCATATCTTCCAACGTTCACTGTGTTTACGTTTCATAAATAAAATAAGTCCTTTTTCGAAAGTCCTTATATTCCGGCCTCAGTAATATTATTAACTCAAGACGAACTTTTTACTGAAAGACTATGTTTGCTAAGTTTGAAAAATGAAAATGTTACAATAATATAATTATGAACTTAATCGCTAAATTCTTGATTAAAATATACATTCATCTCTGAAATATAAATTACTAATATGAGAAATAACTTTTGCGTTTCTCAGTATCCTTATTGTATCATGTAAATTTATTATTCTCGGTATTTAAGGTATAATTGTGTGGTATAAATATCCTTTTACTGGATCAATATTTCAAAAACATTTTTCATTCTTTCGCATAGATAAGTACGAAAGCGTTTACTACTTTGTGT